TTGAAATTCTATGCATAATCCCTCAAACTTTTTCAGTGAACAATTATAAATGTGAATTCGAATGGTGTTTTATGCGATGCATCAACACAAAGTAATGCACAACTACTCCAGCTGTAAGTCTTTTTAACCCCCGCTGTTCCATCTTTATGATGCTTTTTACCTATTAATATCCTCCTATAAACTTCAAAGGTCTTCACAGAAAATACATATATCTATTAAGTCTAAATTACCCACAAAAAAAAAGGATTTTGTTTGCAATTGGTTTTATTTAAGAGTATCAGGGTTATAGGGCCTGCATACTTAAATGCCTCATACACTTTTTTAGGGAAAAATATTAAAAAACATCTATAATCTTCTTCCATTATCCAATTTTTTGCTACTATGTGTTGGTCTGTTACATGAAATTAAAAAAACAGCCTTTAAGTCTGATTTTACCATAATGGGAAAAAGTTCAGGGAGTTTAAATACTTTTGCAAGGCTTTGTGTGTCAGCACCAAAGGCAACTCATCTGGTGCTGACAGCCCCTCATGGTCTCTGGCCATGGATTGTAAATACAAAACAATAAGCTATAGCAGAAATCACAGCTGGAGTCTGGAGCTATGAAACCAATAGGGAAAAGAAACACACATTTCCTCGGGTCAAAGAACAGCTTGATTTAATTTGCACACTTTTATGATAAAACTCCACCGCTGGCTCATGCCTGTTCCTGTGAATTATGTGCTAAAGGGGGAGCATAACTCCATCAGTACGCTGGGGAGCAGCTCTTCAATCAAGTTTCCTTTTATAAAACAGGTAGAAATGAAATGACACCATTCCATCAGAAGTATGGTGGAAACTCATTACGGTGACAGGAGGCTTACTTTTAGCCAAAGGCCTTTCTCAGTCATTTTAAGAGTTTTCTGTTCTTTTCTGTTGTCTGTTAAATTCCTTTCCCGGGAGCTATTGGCCGTTGCAGATATGTTGTATTATTCCTGTTGAATGGCAGCTTTAATCAGCAGCCTGGTGTTCTTACATTAGGCTGCTCTTGTGTCGCACTGATCTCCAGCTCAAAAGACTAATTATTTTTCAAAGCGCTGTTTTCATTTAATTATAACGTAGCTTTTCTGACTAAAGAGAAAGTTCACACTGAATGTTTTTGCTCTTATGTAATGCAGTTAATTGACCTTTTGTTCTACCCTCATAGAAAAATTTTGACAGATATAAATGCAAATAAAAAGTGTTAAAACATATGACGTGATGCGTGCATTGAAAAGTTTGGTATGAACCTGGATATAAAAATCAAGTTGTCCTCTTACCATGATTGTCAGCCAGACTCTGAATGATGAAGTAGGAGCCATTTGATATAAAGCTTCGAAAGATTGTTCAAATTTTTTTTATTCATTACTCAGATATTGTGATATTAATGTATTTTCATTGGGATTGTATGTGTTAGATAAAACAGCACATATTTGTGATCTGCATGTTTCAAAGGGTTTTTGTTGTTTTTGTGTGCCATCTACATGCATTCAGTAATTTCTACCAAGGCTATTGTTTTTAAGCCTTACATCAGTTGGAATTTGATTGGACCTTTTGAGTTGGCTTTTCTTGCGTATGAAAATGCTTAGATCTAAACTATTACGCCGTCACTGTGGCTGTGTGTCCAGTGAATCGTTTTGGTGATGAACGCCTTGCTTGAACGGCTTCTCAGTTGATGTTTAGTTCTTTTAATTACGGCATAATGGCTTGGGCTTGGGGCTAAACAGTTTCCAGTGCTATAGATATTGCTTTATGAGCCAGAAATCACTTTAACTTACCATACTTCCTGACCTGGTTGTAATGATGTTTATTTTAGGTTATAAGAGAAAGGGGCATTGAATTTTTATTTGTTTTTCTTTGCAACTATTCATTTCACAATTATTCACTTCTTTGTGTTGCTCCGTCAATTAAAACTCCCATAAAACACATATGATTTTAGACAGAATAATCAGACATCTAAAGTTTGACCTTAGCTTTGGTTCGACAGAAGGTTTGAGGTAATTGGAAGCCACCTGTCACTGATGTTTCCTTCTCTCTTACAGCCCCCAGAGGAGATCTACTCGGCCGGTGATTCCATTGTCATCAAGTTCCACTCTGACGACACCATCAACAAGAAAGGCTTTCACGTCCGCTACACCAGTACCAAGTTCCAAGACACACTGCACTCACGCAAGTGACCAGCGGGGGCCGGAAGGGTCCGTGCAGGGCACAGGGGCAAAAGGAGGGGCCCCCGGGAGAGGCGCCAGCCTGTCGCTCGGAAACCTTCGGCCACCAAGACGAATCAGACTCGACAGAACAGCCGCAAGACCACCAACCGCACCTCAGCACCCAGGGGCTCTAGCTCCCCCCACAGACTGTGAGGAGTAAAGCCATTCTACACTACACCTTGTTTTTACCTTTTTATGGTTAGGGTTGGGGTGAGAGGACGGACATCCATTTTAGGCAGACAGTGGGGGAAAATGTATTGACCCACTCCCCTTAAAAAATGTTGTTTTTTTTGTGTGTGTTCCTCTTCTTCATTTTTTAAAAACATGCCTCCTACTGGGAAGCAAAAAGGAAAACCGTGGATTCTCAGGACCTGTAGGAAGGCAGGCATCAGCTGGACAGATCCCTGCTTTTGTCAGGCCAGCCCACCTCATGCAGGGGGGTGGAGAGGAGCAGGAGGAGGAGTATGGGAACATCTCCTCGGTTATTGCTCTCCTCTCCTCACACTCTCATGCTCACGGTGCATGGATTCCTGTCCACAAGAGGATTAAAAGGACTTGACTTGAGATTTTTTGAAACTGTATGCCAGCCAATTGCATGTAATTACAAGGAGTGAAGGAAAGCTGTTCAGCGGCAACACCAGCATTTGTATTTGGCATTGTCCTGGCAGCCAGTGGCAAGATTCTCGTTGTTACCATTAACAAGGAAATTAGGGAAGCAGTTACCTTATTAAAGGACTAATAAATGAAAAGTGGTCTTCTGGTTGGTACTTACTTCCCTGACGACTGGCTAATTCTGTACCTCCATGTATAAAGCAATGTTTGATTGTTTTGTTTTTCTTTCCAAGGGAACATGTGCTTTTCTTCTCAGCTCGAACCAGTTAGCACTTTACAGTCAATTGTTCCAAAATCATGAGCTTCTAAAACTTTGTGAAATGCAATGCCAGTTCACTTATTTTTAAATGCATTTTATCTCTTATGCTTTTTTTGTTTTTTTTTTAATTGCTCCATCTAGTTCCTCGGGCATACTTGAACATTGTGTGTGCCCTGTAACACGGGGTAAAATAAAGATATAACTTTATGGTTCAGTGTTGTTTTGTAGTTCTCATGTAAAGTAGATTCTCCCAAGAGGAATTTGCCTTTTTCTTTGGTACATTGAGACATTTCTCAATGAACAAATGAGCCTGGGTATTTACTTTTACACATATAATGTAAAGGTGGAAAGGATCCCCTAAATGCCTTCTAATGTATAGCCAACTGTCTTTGTTAATAGAAAATCCCTTTATTGTCCCACAACGGTGAAATTGTGGTTTAATATATGTTGTTGCTAAGGTTGATTAACCCTCTGTGTTTGCCTTTGGCGCTTTGTTTATAATATATGCTGTTCTTTCACAGGAATAGTTTGAAGCTGCACAGCTGCTTTGGGACAATAAGGGTATCCTGGAAGTGAGGTAACTTGTTCTGTATGTTGTACATCAAGGATGTGTAAGAGGTGTGAAAATGTAAATGTGAATCTAACTTCCCACAGATGCAAAACAACTCTGAAGTATAAATATTTTTGTATTATTTAGGATTTGCTATTTCTTATTAGAGTATGTGACCTCAAACGGGAAAGGTTTTGTTCCTTTTCTCTCTTAGAACCCTGTTTCATTGTTGTGTATTCACAATTTTTCTCAGTACATCAAAAACATTTCATGTTGTGTGTTTAACCAACTCCTTGGGAATTTAGAAATTTCTTGCCTGGATGCCATTTTTACAAAATTTCCATAAATTCTTTAGAAATAAAATATTGAACTATTAATCTAATGCTAAGCTGTGCAGATGCTCTGTCTGCATTGATGAAGATTCCAACAAAACGACAGGTTGACCTTGTTTTAGATTATTTTAGCTGACGACTGCAGTGAAAACCTGAGAGAATTTCAATTCAATGTGTTAAAATCACAAAGCATTGGATCAGCTTAATATCTCACTCAGTTATTCCATGTAGCAAAATAAAGTAAGACAGTCACTGTTTTGTATCTCCTTAGCATTTCAATGGAGATACGGATTTCTGTTTTACCCCTTTATGTGTTGATCTCCAGATAAACAGGATTTCTAAGGATAATTCCTTATCTATCACAATTTACTCTTGGAAGCTACTGTTACATTTATATAAACCTGATAACAAGATACTAAAGATGCATTACCTCATCTGATGCTAATTTATCAAGAGGCTGTTGTCTAGAATGGTTAATATTCATTCATCTTAGTAGGATTGAATTTAGACGTCCTCTGACTTTTTGATGCCACTCAGGCACTGAATAGAGCCCTGGACTTTCAGCTCCAGATAGTCGGGCTTTAACTAAGTGTTAAATGGGTAAAGTAACTTTCTGTATCATTACAAGGGGAGTGGTTGTGGCGTAGAGCTTGAGGTTGTGAGTTTGAAACCCACAGACTACCACTCTGGGTCTCTGAGTAAGACACTTAACCCCTGATTGCTCCCCGGGCGCCCCACGGTGGCAGCCCATTTGGTTAAATGCCAAGATAAATGTTGCCAATGTGACATCAATAAAGTTCAATTATTAATTAATTATTATTATTAAGAATTATCACAATGTTTGCCTCCTTTGTTCCAATATACATGCACTATATATATTATAAATGTGATGTTTCATAAAATGTGCTTGATTTCTTTATGTTTCTAACAATGAGACTACTCTCTCCTGAAGCAAGGTGTTTGCATTGACTTTCAAATTGTTTAATTTTCACCTCTTCTGGCCGGACTTTATCCTCCCAGTTGTTTACTTGCTTGTCCAAATCTTTTGCAGCATGGTTTTAGAAAGGTCTCCATCATGCTTGTCCTTTAACAGTGAAGTACTGTGCAGAGAGGTCGTCGTGGTCCACTGCTTTACTTGTTTTGGTGGGAATAACCTTACCTGCTCTTTGCTTTTTGAAGCTCCCTGCGAGTTTCGTACAGCTCTAGAAAAACTATTTGGAATATTCAGACCATATTGTGGCTTCTTTTTTTCTTTTCTTTAAATAATATTCTTTCCACATCCAGATTATGGCTCCAATGATGCATATTGAAACAATTTGAAGTATAGAAATGCAGCTGCAACCAATTTCATTAATATGTTTTGCAACAGTTTTTTTTTTTTTCTTTTTTCCTTTTATGAAAGTCTCTTCGCTTCCTTTATTGGTTCCCCTCACTGCAATACTTTGGTAAGAAAAAAGCTTTCATAATGAAACCTGCTTGTTTCATTTGCACATAACAGCAGGTATGCTATCTATCTACTGATTTCAGCTTTTTTGGTTACAAACCGTGTTTTCTTTGTGTAAACCCTGTATTTTTATGTATGAGTGAATTAATCAGGCTGTTTTCAGCTTCTGGTGAACATTTATTAATTGGTATGAAAAAAAACATTGCTTATATACTATATGTATGTTATGCTGTAGATACGGATCTGTTCAGGAATCAGCTCTGTAACAAAACTCCTTCAGTTTTACAAACGGACCACTGATCAAAAACTCAATGTCTCTTTCACTGCTGCAATACATTTATTTCATTTCAGGTTTCATAACAATACACCAAGAATTTCTGACTTTTCACCATGCAATACTATGTACTGCATCTAAATATCCTTCTGGTTTTACTTTTTTTTGCATGATAACACACTGCTCTCCAGTTATGACAGTCTGAGTTGTTTCATATAGAAGATTAATAGCCTGTCAGAGATGTGATGCTGTCTCTCTCTCACTGTAATTATGTGACTGTAAACGATTGGGACTCCTCTCCATCCTCCGTTATGCCACAAAGCACAAGGACGCATCGCTGACCTTTCACTAACGAGAAGACAAAAGGCTTTCTGCACCTGCTTTATTTAACACTCACAACTATAGCAGAGACAAAACAGAAACGTTGCACTCTTGCTTTGACTGAGTTGGTCCCTCTCTCTTATGTGATTTTGACAAATGGTCCTCACCTTCACTGCAGGGTAGAGCGTAGCTGGTGCTGATGGGTGTTTGAGTGCTGCTCTTTGCTGTGAGAGCACGTGAAGGGTTACATCAAGTGCTTTTTAAGTGTGATGGAGTGTACACCTGAGGACAGGAAGAGAGGATTCTTTCTATTTGTTTTTTTTTTTTCCTTTTGTTACAAAAACCTTGAAGCAGTTAAAGATCTGATCACGTAAAAAGAATTTAACACAGGTGTGTTAGCAGCTCCCAGAAGTTCAGAACATTTACATCACACATTACATTAAACCAAACAGTATAAATTCAGATGATGCAACTTTTCATCCAGCTGCAGGTGGAAATAGTAAAGGCTTTCCAGAAAACACAAGGAATAAAAAAAAGGATGTTGCAGAAAACAAGAAGTCTTTCGAACAGCCAACATTACAGTCAGTGGTCACAATCAGATCGCCGTCTTTCAACAGTGTCAACAAACCCATCAGCAAAGTGGTGCAAAATAAGAACAGCAACTATTCAAAGTGGAAGGTGAGACAACAAAACATAGATTTTTGGCAAAAGTATTAAATCACTAAATTATTGAGGGTTAGCGGGGATAAATTGAATAACTATATAATGAAATAAAGCACCATAAAAACACAAAATATAACCTTAACTACATGAAAAGTTTAATGAAAAAAGTGTGTGTATGTATGTATATATGTATATATATATAATTAGTTATTTAAAAAAAAAAGACTAATATTTAATTTCATAATTTTAAAGGCATATTTAATTATCAGCACTTCTTTTTGTATTGTCCATATGTTGACAGTATTTATTTCTTAAATAAAGCCATTAATAAATCTATTTTCTAGGTTTTATTTATGTATTTTATGGTCCATTCATATTCATTTATTTCATATTTATTTCATTTTGCCCCCTGTAACCCTTCATGACAAATACTTCCACATTTGGTCACATTCAAAGCCAAAAGTACACCAGCTAACAGGTTTTTCTTCTAAATGAGAACTCGTTTCTCAATAAAGCACTTAAAAATACAGGTTTAAGAACTTGGGATTTTATGCAATTGATCAAAACAAAGGAGTACCTACATTTTATGGAAATACGTTTTTTTTCCAATATTTTAATACCTGAAACTATAAAATGTTGACACCCCTAAATAAAATTCAGGGCAGCACTCACCTTATTGGTAAGTGGAGTTTAAGTTTATTGTAAATCATTATTATTACAAAGGAATATGGAGACATTTAAGACTGTTAAAATCCTCATATATTTAAAAGAAATAGCGCAAAAATGTACAGAATAATTAATCTTAATCCACAGTTTTAGGTGTTTTTCTTTTAAGAAAAATGGGAATAAGTTTCAAACCTTTAATGTGCAAAGCTGGTGAAGACAAACAGTTTCAGGTTTTTAAATGGTTTGGAAACTATACAGTGTCCATCCATTGCACAGCTATGTGCTACTTTGTGTTGATCTGTCACAAAAATCCCTTCACACATAAATATGTGGTTGTGAAATAAAATATAAAAACGTTTGTCATATAGTTACACTGGACTTTTAGAAGATATCCAAGACATAAAAGTTTTGTTTTTTATAACCCAGGTTAGCTGATTACTAAAATCTGTTCTTGGATAACAAATAGCTTTAAATTACTGAGGCTGTGTTGACATCTTTGTGCTTTAAAGATCACTTTCTGATCTATTAATCCCCTTGAAGGTAAAGGAGAATACATTACTCATGTCTGACATCAGTGTGAGCAGAGGACAGTGGAGTTTATGAGCTGAGCGATCTCCAGGCCGATGCCCCCAGCTGTCGGCCGGTCCAGCACAGAGCCCCTCCTAAGGCCGCAGCTGCCGTCACGGCTAGGCTGGCCTTAAGCACTGCTCTGGGATGTCTGTTGAAATGGGCCGGACCCATGCAAGCCAACAAGGCAGAGGTCACGGACAAGGTGAACAAAATGGAGACAGCTGTGTTAATGGCCACGATCTGACCAAACTTGGCAAAAGGCACAATGACGCAGAAGAAAAGAGGGACTGTGGAGATTGCTGTGGTGACAGCGCTGGACACTATGGCAACGCCCACATGGTTCACTGCCTCCAAAGTTCGCCTCTTCCGCTCAGCTGAAGGCTCCTGTAAACAACCAGATAAAATGAATTCATTTAAAAGCATCTTCTTCCACCACTAATGGACCCAAAGAAGACAAAAAAAAAAATTTTCCTTTTTTTTTTTCAAGCAGCTTGAAAAAATTATGAAACTTTCAGTGCCTTTCAACAAACCAAACTTGAACCTTTTCACAGTAGGTCATGTTTAAAGTCGCAAACTATAATATCTGTGTGACTGACCATTAGAAAGTAATGCAAAGTGGAGGAAAAAGGAAACTTCTTTTTCAACTAGTTTTTCAAAACGTGCTAAACATTTGGGGAACAAGTGGATTCAGCTCCTTTTACTCTAAAATAAAATAAAAATCCTCTAGCCTTTAGAAGTCCTCATTTTAGTAAATCGAGTCCAACTTTGTGTCATTTTAAACTGTATTAATCCATGTGTTGTGCAAAGACCACAGAGATCTGTCTGAGAGCATCAGTGAACAAACGGCATCAAGAACCAAAGAAAACAGCTGAGGAATAAACTAGTGACATTTTAAGTTAGATTTGGTTATGAAGAACTATTAAACTATTTTTAGCATTTAATTAACTAAATTAAACCCATTAAGACAAAATAGTTTTGGCACACTGCAAAGCTGCTGGAAAAAACCCCACAAAACATATCCCCCTTCCAAACTAACAGCACAGGGGAAACAACATAACATACACACACACACACACACAAAAAAAAGAAATCTGCCAGCAGACAGTAAATCAGAATCTGACTAGAAGAAAACTATTGGTGATCCATCCATGTCTGGCTGTTATAAGAGAACTCCAAAATGAAACCATGTTAAAAAAATAAATAAAATAATTATCTGAGGCAGCAAACTAACACTAAACACTCCACCTCCACTGTGAAGCACGGTGGCAGCAGCGTCATGCTGTGTTGATGTTGTATGGAGCTTCATCCAGAGGCTATGTTCACACTGGAGCCTAAAGTGACCAAAATCTGATTTTTTTTTTTGCCCATATGCGACCTGTATCTGATCTTTTCATGACATTCTGAACAACACAGACCCAATTTTTTCCAATGCAAACCTGGCCAATTGGCTACTTGGTCCTTTCAAATTTGACATGTGTCTATACATTTAGGTCACATCCATCCACACTGAACATCATTAATACTTAACAAAGGCACCTATTCTGCATCTTTCTAAGCAGAAGCATGAAGAAAAACAACAACCATGCGGAGAGCAGTTTTTATTTCCAAAATTCTTGAAAAGATTTTATTGTTAAAGCACTGGCTGAGGTTGGGAAAAAAATTAAAGATTGCAAGATGCCCTTCAGCAGTACTATCCATTGTGACGTCATTGCATCCTCTACTGCACATATGGGACACTTAATTTGTGTGAATGCGGTTCACACAGGAGATCACATACAAGTATATTTGAAAATGTGAACAACCACACAAAAGAATCGGATTTCACAAAAAAAATTGAGCATTAATGCCTGCAGTGTGAACTTAGCCTAAAAGCAAACCTTTTAGAGGTTTGTTGCTTTTATCTAATCAGACTAAGTATGCGCTATGGTGCAGAAAGGCTGGGTAAATATATTCTCTATATGTGAAAAGCACATAACAAAATATGCATCAAAATATAAAGGTCCCATATATTTTACAAATATGTGACCAAATGTGAAAAGGTTCAAAGAAATAATAATAATAAGAAGAAGAAGAATAGCGTTTGATGGCTTAGAGCTGCAACAATGAGAGAAATGAGCTTTCCCTTACAGAGTTCTGTCCAGGCATCGTGGAAGCCGTCTCCCCAGCCAGCAGGTATCCCTCCACCAGGTGCAGACAGTAATCCACAGAAGATCCGACAAGTATTGACAGAGAAATTGCCTCCACTGCTCCCATCTCCCATCCCAGCCAATACATGACAGCCACGACAAGACAGATCACTCCTGTTGAAAAAAAAAGGACCCAGCCTTTAAAACATCTACACACATGGCTTCCAGGGACATCAGAACCACTTCATCTCTTACCTATAATTGTGATGAGCACAGGCAGCAGCAGCAGAGGATGTGCTGTAAACACGGAGACAGCAGCCACACAGATCCCAAGAGAGAGCAGGAGACTCCAGAGGGCACTTTCCACACCTGGAAAGATCCGATTTCATTACATCTATACACCTCTGCACTAATAGGATTGTAGATATAAAACACTCAACTTAATAATACACCAACCTATAATTTCCATGAAGATCTGCTTCCAGTGCTCACATGTCTGGAAACCTCGCTGGAGAGCAGAGGTGGGTGGGAGGCTGGCAAGCTGCTCCTGGATGAAGTTCTCCCACTGAAGGAAGTCTGAATAGGTCTGAAAGGAGGACTTCCCCTTGTATGTGGTCTTCGAAGGGGAGACGTGAGGGATGGCTGGTTAGGAAATGTCTGCTGAGGGAAAAGTAAAAAATAAAAGGGACTTACCGATTCAAAGGCCATGGACAACCAGCGAACCTTCCCTCCATGCATCCCTACTGCTCCGTGGGAGAGCTGCCCAGGGAGGAGGTTGGGTTCAGGCAGAGATTGGCACTCAGGATGGAGCAGAGGAAGAACAGAGGAGAGCTTGTTTCCTAACAGGAACAAAATAAGCTCTACAAATCTCCACAATTTTTATCCTTTACACTTTATTGCCAACGTGTGAATTCCATTTGAAAATTGATGCATTTTGAGGCTTCACTGCATTTGTTGGAAAACTACCATTATCTATCACCCTGAACACAACATCACCAATAGAAACATGCATAGTGCTGCTGATGGCAGCATCATGCTGGGGGAAATACCTAGGCACTGTAAATTTGAGATTTTTCTGTAATACAAAGAGCCTCATTTATCTGACTCCATCAGTAATCATGGTTTTATCAGTAATAAACTACATTTTTTACTGTGAAAAAAGTTATACCATTAAAAAAAAAAATGTGTTAAAGGTATAGTGGAGGATGTTTTTTTTGCCGTTGGATCATCAAAATAAGTGGTCCTCATAATTGTCAATCATTCTGGCGATATGTTTACGTAAGGCCGTCCTTTTTCTGCAACATGCGCACTTTCCGATGTATATGTGTGGTTAGCAATGGTTTCAGCCACTTATTGAAGCTTGCCTTTGTTCTTTTGGAAAATAAACTTGCATGAATGATGCACACAGCAACTTGTAAACAGAGCGTGCACGAGGATAAATGGGTCGTGCATGCTCTCGCACACAGTTAATAGGCATTCCCTTTTAGGAGTGGGTACAGGGTTGTGCATGCATTTTTTTTTAAAGTGGAGAGGGCGGTTCTTTTCAAAAATTCGGGAAACTCCCTACTATACCTTTAAATTGATAGAAACTATTTTCACAGAGCAGTTAATTTGTGTTTGATGCAATTTTTGAAATTATTCTTCGGTCTGAATACTGTGATTTTAAGACTGAACATAAAAAGACTCATAATTTGTACATTCAACAACCCAAAATATCTCATTGTTTGCTATGAGGTGTGCAATGAAGATTTATAGACATTTAAAAAAAATGTTTGTCAGAATAACCACTTTGAGATGTTTTACCTGAGGGCAAACACTGAGCTCCTCCTGGCTTCACCAGTTTTCTGTTGGCACCGACAGCTTTGCAGATTTTGCAAAGATGGCCCATCTCTTTGAAAATATCAAAGTCTGGATCTAGTATAACACTGCCCTTTAAAAACAATGAAATAATATCAGGGAATAATTACAAAAATATGTCTCTGCATTAATCCCATTTTATCTAAACAATTTGTTCACTATATATATTTCTGCAAATCCTGCAAAAAGTTTTTTAAAGTCATTCAAAGACAGCTGAGCTCATTAGTAGTAGTGTGCAGATCCGGCTGTGAGTAGTGTGCTGTTGCCCTCACCATGTCTCCAATCACATGGTTTTCCCTGTTTTCGCTTCGATTCACTCCCAGGATCCCAAACACGACGAAAACCATGGCCCCGGTGTCGACCAGAGGACGCACAGCTGGGCGACCACAGGCGCCGCCCATGCACGGGTTGAAGCCGGACGTTTTGGATGCTTTTGTCTTGGCAGAGGATGAGGAATCTTAGAAAATAGAACGAGAGGAAAATCTCTCAACTGTGTTTGTTTATTCAGTGTAAAAATAGCTGCACGACTGGAGTGCTGTGGAAAAAAAGAACCCTCCGGTGGGTTTACAGAGTGCCACTTGAAGAAGCTGTCATACAACAGCATTCTCTCTATTCACAGCAGTCATGACGTGGAGTAAATGACAAAGAAAAGATAAGCTAGAGAGACACATACAGTGTTTTCCTAATGAGCTGAAAAATCATCTTTGTGTTGATAATGATCTCAGACAAAGACACTAGCTCACTCACCGCTGGGGAGAGGGCTATAAAAAGATCCCTTTAAGGGGCCATCAGGCCCAGAACTGAAGCCACAACCAGGCGTTTTGACACACAGTCTGCTGGGATGAGGTCTCTGGTGGCACTGAGCAAAATAAAGCCTCCTGAAAGCAGAAAGCAGATTTTATTTGATAGATTTGCAGCCAAAGCCACTGGAGAATCCTCACTGGGGCACAGAATTTATCATTCCACCTGCTATTCTGCTGCAGAGACGCTGCAACATAAAAAGAAAACTCTGGAGTCCAGCCATGGCGGGGATCACACGAGCTGGACGTGAGCATCCAGCTGGGGTACGGCCGGTACTCTCTGGAAATACACACTGTCATTCTGCTGGTGTAATTGTCGAAGGGATGACTAAATGCCTGTTCAGACAAAATGAAACATTATTATGGCAGCACCAGTCACAATATGATAGTGAAGACGACTTTGTTTGCAGCCCAAACCTGGAATGACGACACCTCATCGTGCTCTGTGCTGCACACTTTCCACGGTGATGGGACGCTGGTGTTCAGAGAGAATCTGTAGATTGTTGTGGAGCCTCCTTGAACCAGCTTTGACATGTACACAGTCAGCAAGGAGCCTAAAACACCAGAACCAGATAAAGCTATGGAGTCAGGTCATTCTACGTAAGTGAAGATCATCATCATCATCAACATCACCCTCCTTACCTGTTGTGTTTGTGCCTGGGTTTGTTTTGATTGAGATTTTGGGGGCAGTTGAGGCTGTTGGGCTTTGACTTCGCTGATGTGTGGAAAACCTCAAACCTGAAGGAGTGTGTGTGTACAGAAGGTGGGGCTTTTCCATGAACACACCTACAGGATAAAACATGCTTTTAGGGGAGCGCTTCTCGGTCTTTTTGTAACAAGGACAACAGCTTTGAATAGAATTTCCAAGAAGCATAATGACAAAGATTTTTAAAGCATAAAGGCACAAATGGCATGTGTGGTGTGTGTGCATGTAATTATTTCATTTCATTTAAATTAAACCTTTAAAGTCGGGCTTTTAAAAGGAAAGTCAGAAAGGCTCTGCAGCAGGTTTTACCTTGAAATTCGACTTAGACCATTTTTGTATACACAGAGTGTATGCAAACCAAAATTAGGTTTCGTACAGCTCTCATGACATTTCCATTGAATTCAATATGGTTGCTTTGCTGTTAAAAAGGTTTGACAGGTTTTAATTTGAATCTTCTGGTATTCTGCATCTGAGTAGTTCTTTAAGGATCACAGTACAGCATCACTTTCAGTAAGGGTTTTCTATGGTGTTTAAAAGTTGAAAAGAGCAAATGAGTAAGTTATTTGCTGGTATTACTAATATTAATTATTCTGTTCACTGAACAAAAAGTTAGCAAATCTCCCCAGTTGAATTTGTTGTTTGGTTGAGTTTGTTTCTATTGCCAGATATAAGCTTCACCCTAAAGGAGAATTTAACACAGCTTTAATAGCAACAACAACTTGTTGCTGGTTCACTGTTGCCTTCTGTTTTTTAATGGGGCCTCAATTTTTACCCCTACTGGACCTCTCTTTAAAAAGCTTATTAAGTGTTACAATTTATGTAAAAATCTTCCTTTGTTCGGATTCGTCTTGCTCCCATAGTTTTGTCTACCTTAGATAAAGCCACATTGATTATATAATATGTATTTAATTTAGTTTTATTATTGCATATTTCTAATGTTTGCTGTTTTGCTCTTCCTCTGCAAAAAATTGCAATATTTTTCTCTATTCTCATGTCATTCTTATGCAATTACATTTGTTTATTGCAAGTTAAATACTTCTAATTTGTTCGTCTGTGTGTAGCACCTCATACCAGAGCAAATTTCGTGTTTTTGTAAAACACTACTTGGAATTACATGGTTTTTTGATTAAAAACAAAAAAAGAATAAATCCGTAAATAAAGTTTGTTAAAGGTATAGTTGAGGATGCTCTTTTTCCGGGTGGATCACCAAAATAAGTGGTACTCCTAATTGTCAATCATTCTAGTGATATGTTTACGTAAGGCCATCCTACGTGTTTGTCCCCATTTTCATTTACCACCGGTGAGTCTGACATGATGGAAAAATTGCAAATCTTCTGGAAAGTAAGCTTGTATGAGCGATGCAAACAGCAACTGTTAAACAGAGCTTGCATGAGGATAAATGGTCTTGTGCATGCTCTTGCACACGTTTAATAGGCGTGCCCTCTTGGGAGCGGCCACAGGGTTGTGCATGTGCAGTTTTTTTTTTTAAAGTAGAGAGGGCGGGTATTTTCAAAGATTTGCAAAAATCCTCCACTCTAACTTTAGGTCTTAAATCTCTTCTTAAGAGATTCTCTGGGTTTTTTCAGTTTGTTATGTAATAGCATAAAAAACACAAAACAAAGAAATCATCTACCTACTGAGTGACTGCTGTTTAAAAAATGAAGCAAATGCCTAAACCCCTTTGCTGTTTCAATTAGAGAGGAAGTCCCTTTGCCTATTGGCACCTCTTTGGCCAATTATTGGCTTCAAATAACAGGCAGCTTTCTACTGCAGGTAGGATATGACCTGCTTTCAAATCTTTCAACAGAAACGCTCCTTAAAATGTCTTTCACTGTTATAGTCTCACCTGAGCACATGGGGCAGGAGATTCCCTGACCACTGAGGTTGCTGCGCAGAGCCAGCAGAGTCTGAAGGTTTGTGTCCTGTCGGAACAGGAGGGGGGCATGGGTGGCTGGTCTCAGGAGACAGCAGCAACCCGCAGAGAAGACCAGAACCAGGAGAAAGACGCCTGGAATGGCACCAAGACAGATATTAGCAACCAGGTCTTCTTTAACAGGGAGGCTTCTAGGATGTAACAATAAATTATCACTTAGGAGTTAAGTTTATTGATTTCCTGTTAATACAGCAGCCGTGTAAAAAAGCCTTCAATATTTTAAAGCAACATAGAGGTTAAAATATCCCAATTAGAAATGGAACACTTACTCAGTAACCTGACATTCACTTATCTCTAATTTCTGCAACATAAACATACATTATAAAAATATATATATATGTATAACATACAGCCTAATTTAAATGTAGCCTAAAAATGAATCCTATTTAATCTATCTTATTTAAAAAAAAAAAAAAGAGTTTTGATCATGCATTGTTTGGACATTTTTTGGTTAACATATAGTTACACCAAAATAGCAGATTTCAGTGCAGGGATGTTTATTCTGGTTCAAGTTGTCCAGATTCCTCATTTAATCTTTTTCCACTAGCACCATTACAATTCTGAGAGGAGCTCAGGATTACTTCAAACAAAATAGTTTTTAAGCTGAACATGTAATGATTGTTAAAATGTTGGAACATTTTTTTCATTAAATAGAAATGTAATATATCTTTTTTTGTAATTTGCAATAATTAACAGCAATTCAAAATGTAAAATATGGATAAATAAGGACAATTATTATAGCATTAAAAAATATTGATAAAGATTTTTTTTTTATTTCTCTGATATTTTGAAGCACAGCTTCCATCCATCCATTTGTTTCTTATTGCTGCAGAAAAATCTAGATTTTCAAGGCCTGAAAAGAACCATCTGCTTTGATTTCCTCTTATCATAGAAAACACTGGGATGCTCTACTCCTTATAAGCTAAATATTGAGGGTCAATCAGTGGAAAGAGAGGAAATTGGATTTTGTCTAAGATTTTCCAGGATAGTTTTAGCATGAAAAGAGAAATAATGGAAAGCAACCAATGCTCAGTGGTAAATACAGTGGAGGGCCTGTGATGCTGTGGGTCAGTGTTTTTCCCAAAGGTCCTAGGAAGTTTATTAGAGTTCAAAGTATCATAACTAAATATATATTTCAAACACCAGAAGATTAAAAATGAAATATGGTGGGTTTCATCTATTTATGATGCATAAAAAGTCAAAAATGAACATTTGAACAGGATAGAAATGTAGATCAACTCAGAAGTTGGTCACAAGAGAAAACATTAACTAGATCTAAGAGAAAAGAAGATCTAGGACTCTCTGTCTCTATATGCTCCAACACCGAGAAGCGTTTAAGTGCTGACCTGATGCCAACATGGGCTGTTGAGCAAAGCATCAATAGCATTAATACTATCACTGAAAATTAAGTGATTTTCTCACACTGTGAGTTTTATCATTTGGAAGTTGCTTTTTTACCATTTTCTGTAAAATACAAATTCCTTTAAAGGTCGCTTTTTGGATGCAGACAAACCTGCGGGTTTTTTATCTGCAGCCTTTGTTAAGAAAATGTCCTCTCATGTCCAATTTGAGTGAATTCATGTCATGTCTCACCTAAAACTGCTTTCCGATGCCTCACAGCAGGCAGCGCCACTAAGTGCTTCAGGCCCCATTGGAGTTTTGTGCTAACCACACCCATATGCTGCTGTCCTGTAGAGGATAATGGTGTCTCCACTGTGAGGGAAAGAATGGCTGCATCGCTGTCTGTGTCACAGGAGCCTGCCAAAAGGAGAATGACCTCAGTGATGCCTCAACAGCTGTGTTTTATAGTCAGGAATCATAGCCTCCCATTCGCTGCCTCGCCATACCGTCCACTTTTTGTAAAGGAGATCATAATCTCACCTGGCTCCATGTCCACCGACAGAAGTGCCACATCATCATCCTCATCTGACAAAGGGCTGTAGCTCGCTGACAAGCCTAAGAGCAACTTCACGCTTCAGAGAGAGGACAGTTTAGGGTCAGAGGCAGCTGTCTAAACTCTGCACAGCCACCACAAATAACACCTCTCAACAAAGCAAGGAAGCAGCAGCTCACCAGTTTAACCAGTCATGTTCGTGAGGCTCCACATGCTGGGTCCAGATACACAGGGCTGCTGGCATCAGGACAGACACCCAAAGCCAGGCGCAGCTGACAATGAGGGCCATGAATAGGCCAAAGTCATGCACGGCTGGGATCTGAGTGTCAGTTAAACGCAGCACAGTGTAAAGGACCTTCAAACATTCAATTTGTGCTTATCGAGCAAAAACGGATGTCTGCTGAGAGCAGCATTTCTATTCATCCTGTGCAGAGGAGTCATTTAGACTTCCTGTAGACATTCTATTAAACGGTGCATTTCTCTCGCCCGATTACCTGAGAAAAGGTGTTGGCGGCGTAGGCAGCTGCAGTCGTGAAGGAGGTGAGGAACGTCGCCCTGCCGGCGGTTTTTATGGTGTAGATCATTCGCTCCTGAGGGTGCCGTAGATGGGAGGCCTGTCTGAAGGTGCTGATGAACACAAACACATCATCCACACCTGAGAGGTGAAGAGCAGAAATATATGATTTATTGCAAAGGTGAACACTGATTTTATAAATGCTCATCCAGAGAACAAAAGGACCCAAAAAAAAAATCCTTGAATGGAAACTTGCATTAAACTACTCTGGCTTGTTTAGCATAAAGTTTAGAAGAGATGCAGATGACAGAAAGGATTTTAAAAAAAAGTTTTAAGCGAACATAGTAATGAGTGAGATATGATTACACAATTATACATTTTAACTGCTGTGGTAAAAAGAAGAAAAACCTTTGATGACTTTCCAGTAATGATGTAAATTTATTTATGTAAGCCAAGTGTGTAAAACTACAAACCACTGATTCAATCATGTTGATATAGATAAAAAAAAAAAACAGGCGACAAAAATATAAGAAAAAAAAACACAAAAACAGCAGGTTAAACTTGACTATAAAGAATCTGATCTGTTAGCTGCATTTATTCTTCTAAAGTCTTTAGTACTTTTGCCAAAGTTTGCCCACAAATTCTAACTTTAAATACATGTTATTTGGATTTGATGGAGCAGATGAACAGAGGAAAACTGTAAAATTATAATATTTCCAATTTGACCAAGTCTTCTTATTATATGTCTAACCAAAACGTCTGTACAAAGTTATCATATGATTGATATTCTAAGCAAGAGCAGATTCTATTAGATTATTAATCTCCTTTTCAGAAGATTCTGCCTTAAATAAGCATAATAATCTGCCAGTACAGCAAGAAAACTGCATTTGGTAAGACTTCTTTTTTGAGAATATATATCATGATTCCCAAAGTCTTACCAAGGGTAATTATCTGGCAGATTATTTATCTTATTTTAAATATTATTTTAATAAAAGATTTTAAAAACTAAAACGAACAGAATATGATCTGTTGTAGATGCAAAAGGATACATGATCTAAAAATGTTGACAAAGTGCACCATATATTTGCATTCAGCTGTTTTTGTAGAACCACAGTTTGCAGCAAGTAAAGCTCCAGCTTCTACTGTCCCTGTCCATGCTGCTGCCACCACCATGCGTCTCTGGAGAGATTTTGTTTTTTCCACACTTATGCACACAATTTTTGTAAGTTATCACATACATTCCCAATGAACTAGGTCTAAGTTTGTGATTTTAATGAACCAACATAAAAACTCAAAACAAATCCAAAGAACATCAGAGCAAAAACACACTTTTACAAGCCATGGAACAGATAATCTACAATATCCCAGAGGCAATACACTTTTGATGTCATTTTTCTGACAGCTTTATTGATTTAAATTCACTGATTATAATTAATTATATATATAAAATCTATCTGATTTTATATGAAAAAAAAAGACAAAAAATATTTAAGCACAGTAAAAGTAATTTGCTGACCCTGATAACCTATAATGCAGTCATTTGAATAATAAAACACATTTCATGGTTACAATTGCTATTTTCAGAAGTAAAAGAACATGATTACATGGAGGAAATTATCAACGGATTAATTTACCTAAAAACATATTTACTCCTAGAAATACTTTGTTTATGCAAAATATATCAAAAGCATGTTTGGCTCTTTTAACACAATTGCCTCATTGTTCTCTGTGATGTAATAATTAGAACAAGTTAGCATTTAAACATTGTTGCTCCATTCTTAAGAGGAAATGAATAATCTATGTGTGTTTTGGGAACTGTCACTTTGATTTGCTCCAAGACTATTCTTTCTTTCAGCCTTTTTTTATTTTGAAGCTCTAATTAATTTTAACCTGTACTTTCAGTACATGAAGAATATATATTTGATTTTTGTCTAACTTTAAAGAATCTCTCAGGCAGTAAAAGTGTAAAAAGACTCAATCATTGTTTTCTTTATTTTTCCTTTTTCTTTTGGTCTTTATGTTCCTCTGATCAAAGGATTTTTTTCTGATGAACAAAACTGCCTGCAGATCAATCCTGTTTATAAAACAACACAACCTAAAAATAAATGCAGACTTTCACCAAGATAAATGCATGCTCTTACCAATCCCAATGATGACAAACGCTGCCACTCCGTTGAGAATGCCGAGGTACCTCACTCCAAAGACAACATGGTAGAGAAAAAGAGCCATCAAGCAGCTCAATCCGATGCTGGCGAGTCCAAAGAACGTCAGAAAGACTTCAAAGAGTACAAAAGAAAAAAAAAACTGAGCCTGTTCACATTTCAACCAAATCTTCAAAGAGAAATGACACAAGAAATAGATCACACTATCTGGATGGGGCTGATCACTGCAAACCAGGGTTAAATTTTTTTTTAGATGAAATTTTATTTTTAATTCATGTAAGATGAAAAAATAAATAACTGATCACAAAAAGAGAGAAACAGATTTTATTGTACCAGAAAAGGAGGTGAGAAAGTAGACGAGCGCAGTGATGCAAGCTCCGCTGATGACAGCCAGCATCATATCATTATAAAAGGTGTGTCTCACTTCATCATCAAACAGCTCTGTCCCCCCATACAGCACCTTCACCTCACTGCAAACAGGAATACAAAGAAAACAACCTGGGACTGAGTTACAGGCCTTGTACTATGAGCCTCAGTGCTCCAAATACTTAAAATGAATAACACTCAGTCAGCTCTGAGGTAAAGTGTCTGACCTGGTAGACTGCTTGGCCAGCATGCCTGCATACTGAACCACAAAGTTTTTGAAGCGAGCTCTTTGCTCATCTGCTCGATCCTGCAGGGAGTAGAAGGACGGCAGGGGAGCTCCAAAGTGGATCTCACTGCGTAAAAGGGCTGAAGAGAGATGCTCAGGGGAGAGACTTTCATCCACGTACCAGTAGAACTGTGGGTGGGTGATGGCCAGACTCAGGGAACCTACCACAAAGTGCCAAGAGATGAAAGCAGAAGTTAGGTTAGCTCGACTCAGAGGGTTTTTTTTATGATACAGTGAAATACAAAAGATTTTATACAGCATCAACTTTTACATTTTCTCAGAAGATAACCAGCAGTGTGTTTTATAGGAATTGTGTGAGGCAAATAACAACTAATAAAAAACCCAAAGCACTTTAATGTGAAGAAAAACTTTTTTTTCTTTCTTGCATACATTTTCAATGCATGAGTACTTAGTCTGTAGGACTAGTTTTCTCTGCTATCAGCCTCAAGTATCAAGATTTTAACATCTACAGACTGAAATTATTATCGCGATGTTAGTTTGGCCAGGAATTATCAAGTGTTTCAATAGACTAATATAGATTATAACATAAAATACCACTGTGCCTTGATTACATTGTTTAGGGTGGTGGTTCTCTTGTTTTTCCCCCATTTTTTTTTCTTTCTTTCCAGATTACCCTGCATTACATCTCTGGATGTCCCAATACAGTTTTTTTTTTCTCTGACATTATACTGATGTTACTATAGTCAACAACAGAAAGTATAAGAACAACTGCCTATATATTATTAACTAATGGGTTACAAAACCTTTAAACAGAAGCAGATAAAAAGCAGAGTGTTTCTATCAGATTGCTTATATCGGGGATTTTAGAAGCAGGCTAATATGTTCTAATATCAATTTTCTTTTATCAATATCAAATCGTGACATCCATAAATCCATCTATCCTTCCATCAACTATGATCACTCTCCCTGCTGTTGCTGAGGAAAAAGATCCCACAGAATGATGCAGTCTCTACCATGTTTGATTGTGTTTCATTTTTTTAACATAGTTCATAGCGTTTGCATAGGTAAAAAAAAAAAAAGAATTTCGGTTAAACGGTTTCCAAAAAAAGCATCTCATTCAACAGGTTTGCTTTATCCCCTTCATCACTTGTGGGAAGCTGTAAAACTGATTTTTTTTTTATTACTTCTTTGAACAATTGCTTTTTTATTGGCATATTTCAAAAAAGACGATTTGCAGGGTTCACAACTAATATCTGTCTTGAAGAGACAAAACAGTAGATCTCTGTGGATCCTTATAGAGGTAGAGGTACCATTAGTATTCTGGCTTATAATAAATAAAGGCTCTCGTTTCCTGGCCTGTTCTTTCAAACAGATGGCTGTTTCCTTGATGGACGCTTCTCAGAGGTACCCTGCTTTTTACCTCTTTGGATAATGGATTAAACAGCACCCCATGATGTGGCTAAAGCTTGGAACATTATTTTATAATCTTGGTTTAGGGGTATCAAAGTAAGTGAGGCTCAATACAAATGCAAACACCATTTTCTTTGTACAAAATATAAAAAATTACTGATCCTCTTTTATCCACTTAGAGTTTATGTAATTTATATGTCTATAACACAAGATGCTACAAAAAATACATAAAAGTTAATTTTTTTTAACATGAGAGCATTTTCATAATAACGTATTGTAACTGGATCATCTTGTTGACTTACCTTGAATATCAGCCAGATCTGGGCCCATGCCATCATAGTATATCTTCCCCGCCTTCTCACTGGGGTAGAGGTAAGACAGAAGTGAGCTGGGTGGGGAGCAATAAGAAGGCCCCAGAGGCAGATCCCTTAATATCTCCATAGGTTTCCAACAGAACTGATGAAACTGAGGATGCTGCATGAGCAGACGCTCCACATGGTGAACTGTCTCCAGACGCTCTGGGGTGAAGATGTTGCGCTCACCTTTCCCCTGAGCTACAAAAACCAGCTCAATCTTCCACAGAGCCTGGCTCTGCATGTAGTAATTAGGAGCAAATCTGCGCCTCCTAATGAGTGAAAAGGAGGAATTTCCATCTTTTAATCCTTGTTCCTCTTCAGCTCTTGGATTTAAGCTCTTGTCCATCTTTATTCCTCCCATACCTGCGTCAGGCTCAGTTTCTGCTTCTCCTCTCTGATCACCTTCTGTTCTTAAAGTGTTTTCTGGTTGAAAGGAGGACTTTACCTTCTTCCTTTCTGTCCAGTTGAAAACCCCCTTTTCATCCAGCTTCTCCAGGAGAAGCTCCTTTAGAGCCTCAGACTCCATGTCCTCTATGTCCCGCCTGCGTCTGTCCCAAGACCCAAGCTGAGTCCTCACAGCAACAGTGAGAGCATCAAAGCGCTCAGCTGAGAAGTGACTGTGAACCTCAAAGGCACTGTAGGAGAGATCTATGTCCAGAGGAGGGCAGTAGAGCAGCATGTAGGCGAACAGGGCAGAGGGCATGAGGAATGCTACCCCTAAAACCACCCCACTGGCCCAGGGTTGTGTGTACACCCACCCCACTCCACTCCAAACCCCACAAACCCCTTCACTCCCCGACAAACAGCTCTGCCCGGCAGCGTGCGTCTCCCCATCCTCCTCCTCTTCCTCCTCATCTCCCCAGCTGGTGCCAAACAGCAGCGCCTCGTCCTCCACATCCATGCTGGCACCTGTGAGCGACACATTACACCGCTTCATTATTACTTTCTCACAGCTCTGACGGCTTCTTCTCCTCGAGTGAGTGAACACGAGCAAGAAATAGATGTTTGAATTTGGAACAGTTGACACAAGCATTAAACAAAATGAAGGACAGGGGGACTTCCAAATCTGTACTGAACAAGTAGGGCTGTGAGGGAATGAACTGTGTCCTTAAGCTGCTGCAGACCAAGGTTCTTTCTCTGGGTGGCTCATGTGGAGGAAATGAAAGGGATAATGGGGAAGGTGGGAAGGGGTTCAAGGGCTTATAGACAAGAAAAGGTGGCAGCTTTTTGCTTTAAGATGCTGCTCACAAGAGCTTGAGGTGAGACAGAGTAAAAGCTGTGATTTTATTCCTTTCCCTGTCAACCCTTATCACCAGGAGCGAGTCCGCTGGTGGCTGTCGAGGTGCAGTGTGTGTGTATGGATGTGTGTAGAAAATTAAATATACTCACCTGCCTAATTACTGACAGAAAGAGCGAGCGGGGTATTAGAAACTGTTGCTGGCTTATCTCCTGTGATGGACAGCTCTTGCCTAATGATGTCAATGGGTGCCTCTTATTTAAACTCTCATGCTCATGATATGCTACTGCAGACAGTTTGCATGCTGATGGTAGTGAGCTCTCTAACTGCAGCGATTCATCCGGACTCTTTAGAAGTGAGCTTAAAGGTCAGTCAGGTGAAACACTGCATGGTGATGAAGAAGAAACAAAAGCTGTCCTCCGCCCTGCAGATGAAGTAAAATCCATCAGAAGATTAAGCAGCTGGCATTTTTTGATCAATACTAAAAATGATTAAGAATTTTTTGCTTAGGAAATGAAGACAAATGTCTCTTCAGAGACAAATTCTGAACCCCAAATTAAGTTAGACACTAGCTGATGTGACTTTGTTTTTCCGTGCTCCGGGAACTGACAGGTTTATTTCCCATTAGAAATAGGTGGGTTATTGAAATTGCATAAACTTTTCTTATAGTTTAAAACCCTTTAGAATAACCTGATAAAGAAAGTGCCAGAGTGACAAAAGTTTGTTGCATGCAGCAGAAAGTGCAAAGCTTTGCTTTTTTCCTGTGTGTTGATGCACACTGCCTGTGAGCTTGCTGAAAGGCTAATAGAGTTTCCTTTATCAAAAAAGAAAGACAGACCAATTTGGCTGTTTTTAAATGTTTCGCATTACTGAAAAACTTAATGCAGCTGCTCAGTGGGAACAGTGGGTAGCACTGCTACCTTGCAGCAAGAAGGTTCTGAGTTCGATTCCCGGCTTGGGGTCTTTCTGCATGGAGTTCGCATGTTCTCCCTGAGCAAGCGTGAGTTCTTTCTGGGTACTCCTACAAAAAACCTGACTGTTAGGTTAATTGGCTTCTCTAAATTCTCCTTATTTCTGTGCATGAATAGTTGTTTTTCTCTGTGTTGCCCTGCGAAGCACTGGCGACCTGTCCAAGCTGTACCCTGCCTCTCGCCCATAGACAGCTGGAGATAGGCACCAGCACCCCTCGTGACCCCAGCTGGGATAAGCGTGACAGAAAATGGATGAATGAAAAACTTAAAGCAACAAATAATCACTCTAAAGCTACAGCGACAAATTGAATGTGTTTATTTCAAATTGTCTTTATTATCGTTTTCAAATTAAAATAGCTAAATAAATGCAATATATTTAGTGATTTTTAGTTGAAGGGGTGAAAAATTAATGATTAATTACTAACAAATTAATAAATCAAGCCAGCTTACCTCTATAATGCCACACATGTTGCTTAAACATGATGATTTTTAAACTTTATTACAATGGGCAAAGATATCTCTAAGCGGCGCCAGATATTATCCATTACTTTAAAGAGAGACATTAAGATGATATCCTATCAAAACAAATATTCACTCTGAGGAAGCAGAGTCTATCCTTTATGAATGTTAGGTTTTCAGAGACTACTTTCACATTCGATACAACCATGCCTGCAGCTCTGCAGCTCAACCCAATTAATACTTAAGGGATCAGTTTAGGTGAACTGTTGATGCCAGAGCGAGCAGTGATTGCACCACGCTCCTCTATGGTGTTAGGGGCCCTATATGTAAAAGGGATTAATCACTAAGGTGTCTGTCTATTTTCTTCCATCATCTGTTCCAATAAATAAAAACCAATAACCTGTAACATAGGCAGAGAGGATTTAACAGATTTCCATGAGCCTGAACAAAATACTGAGATTTGCTTAATACACACATACATTTTCCTTACAACTCTACCTCCATGTAAAGAGAAATAAATCACTTTATTCATTGCCAAGTTTCACTGCTATAAAAAGAGAAATAATAAACCAAAAATATAGCTTGTGTAAAGGCTGTTCTGTATGATATGATGTGCTTAAGCTTTCACTTTTGCTCTGTGGCAGGTATGTATGAACAGCCGCTAGATAATGAAAGATTCAGAGATGTTGGACGCTATATTTAGTGTAAAATCTTACGGTTTCGCTCAGAAGGTGTGAGACAAGTCCATTTATCTACCTTGTATTAGGGAGGCATGGCCAGCAGGGGGCCCCGAGGAGCCTCAAAGTCTGCTTATACCTTGTGCCGGCCTCTGATATTTTTCATTTTGTACATTAAGATGTCATAATATGTTTTAGGAGCATGGAGCATTTTTATTTCTTTTACAAACAAAAACTAATTAGACACAGATGTTTTATGAAAACATGTTTTAGTATAAATATGGTGATATCATTTTGCTCCTGGTTACAGTCATCACAAGACTCATGTCTATATATCTACAGAATGTGTTTGTGTAGCAGGACAGCTCAACGTGTGTAACGAATCAATCATTGGAAATATTTTCACTTCCTTTTCAATAAGCTTCTAATATCCAGCTTTAACACTACTCAGATGGGCTGAAGCTTTTTAATGTCACATTTTCTCCTTTTATGTAACAGATAATAAAGCCACTGGATATGAAAAACTGAGAGCTCCACACTGAATCTAATATTCTATAAAGGACACCAATTTTCAGCTATTTAATTCATTGGAACAACAGAGAAAGTGCACTTATAATGTAAGAAGGACAATGTTAATATACACCTCCTGAACTCTAAGAGGAGTCATTTAGGTATTATTTCTGTGCAATTTGTCAGTCATCCAACTATCCTTCAGCTGCATCTTGATTAAACCAGCTTCTGTTTCTTGAGGAGTAACGATAAAAGTGCTTGAACCCTTTGAACCTCCCAACTTGATCAGTACTTTTAAAACCAATCTTACACTGTTGCTACATCTGCAGGTCTTTTTTCACAACAATATTACCAATGTTTAACATTGAACAAATTACTGTTTTCCCCTCTCTTCTTAACGCTAAGTCAGATTGGATGGAGAACATCTGTGAACATCATTATTCCGACACACGGGTATTTGTGTAGGTTTTGAACCTAAACCGTTCTGCAGCAGCTCTGTCAGAGTTGTTGTCTTTTTGGAAGGTTAACCTCCTCTTAAAGGTTTTTTTTTCAGTGCTTTCCCACAATTTATCTCCTTCCATCTTCCTATCAAAGCTGACCAACTTCCTTGACGGCGCTGTAGAAATGCATGCATGTGAGGGTTTGGTCCACAGGCATAATGTTTTGCATGAAGAAGAGAAAATGTATGGTCTTTTCTGATCAGAGAACCTTTCTCCCACATGTTTGCTGCGTCCCCTACATGACTTGAGCCAATCGACGATGTAGTCTGGAGCTGCAACTAATGATTATTTTGCAAATCTATAAATCTGTTAATTGTTTCTTAAATTATTTGATAAATAATTTGATAGCCAAAGGTTCCTTAAAGAAGACTTTTTACAAATTTAAACCAGGTGAAACTAAAGCTTTTACAGTAGTTCTGGATAGAGCATATTGACAGACGAATAAAAAAAAAAAATCTTAAATAAAAAATGTTTACATTATTTTATTTTATTTTTTTACAATTTTGGTGTAAATACTGGTCTAAGTGGGTTGCTCTGTCAGCTTAAATCATGTTTTACAGTATCTATACTCCAGGTAACGATTAATCAATTTCTAAATTAGTTGTTTATTTCCATAATGGATTAATCACAATTAACCCATTATTATGAGTGTCGCAGTGGGTACCACTGCTGCCTTGCAGCAAGAAGGTTCTGGGTTTGATTCCTGGCCCAGGGTCTTTCTGCATGGAGTTTGCATGTTCTACCTGAGCATGCGTGGGTTCTCTCCAGGTACTTCCGGCTTCCTCCTACAGTCCAAAAACATGACTGTTGGGTTAATTGGCTTCTCTACATTCTCCTAAGGTGTGAGTGTGTTCGCAAATGTTTGTTTGTCCTGTTTGTACCCTGACTCTTGATTGGCACCAGCACCCCTCATGACCCCAATTGGGACAAGTGTGTCAGATAATGGATGGATAATCCATTATTTCAGTAACTGATTAATCACAATTAATCAGATTAATTAATTTTGCCCAAATGCAGTCCATAACTCCAAGCATCCATAAAAGCTATGAGGCCTTCAAAGTGCAGCTTCATCTACAAAGATGACTCCATTTACTAATTCAGCACCTTCTGCAGGTGTCAGTTTCACAGAGTATTTATTCAAGGGTGTCTCAGTAAAACTGGCAACTAAAAAGTGGACAAACCATTGAAAACCAACCATTGTTTTTCCACTTCCCAATAATGAGCTACTTTGTGTTGGTTTGTGAAGTTTATTGGAATGTAGCTCATTATGTTAAAACTGCAAGAGGCATAATCACTTTTACAAGTTGTTTTGATTTGCTGCAGCCTACAAGCAGACTTATTGGTTAGCTGTAATCACCCATAGCTATTACAGCCATATAAGCACTGTAATGTTTTATCTAGTGTAAAATGCAAAGTACATATCCATGTGCGGAAAGGACCAATTATGTTATATTTCCTAGAAAAGAATGTGTGGGATATTATTTTTTCTATTGCTAGCCAATGAGACTGATAACAGCTGGCGGGTTTTGATCATTCGATTCTCCTAATTGAGTTTCATTTCTGTCTATCCCTGCCTTGTTTTAATAATGGCAGTTCTTGCATCGACTGGAGAAAAGAGAAGACTCTCAGACGAGCACAGAAATATAATGAGGTGTGGAACGACAAGTGGAGACGAGAGAACAGCTTGGGTGATGACAACGGATACCCTTCACTTATTGGCGTTTAGATAATAATAATAGAGTGAAAAATATTAGAAGTGCATAGTTAAATTTCCACATCTAGATTTACAAACATTAGATGAGCTGATTCCTGGTGCTAATGCCGACTTTTCTTTAGAGTTGTTGCATATCCTGAGTGCATGTCAGTCATTAAGCCAAGGTTTGTGCTGCTCCCCCCCATCTGTCTCCAAGCCTCTCTCAACACCTGCTGGTGAAGATGAGCAGACCTAATGAGAGTGGTGCATGGCCTGAGGGACACATCCTTTCCCTTCTCTGATGACTCTGACGCTTCTTCACATTCAAGAAAATCACGGCAATAATTATGAGCAAAGTACAGCTGTAAAGCACTGCGGAGATGTGGTATAACTAATGCTTTTTACAAGACGCCGGATTTGTTCAGCATATTCTGCTTTTTTTTCTGCAGAGATTAAGAAGAGCAGTTGATTTAAATCCCATGGAGGTGAGGATTAAAACTAGACTGTAATTTGACTTCCTACAATGCGTGTTTGTGGGGATAAAAAAAAAGCTGCCTATGAGATAAATCCTGGATTATTAAAGCCATTTTGTTAAAGGTGAGTCACTGTTTTGTCTTTTTTTTTTCTTAAGATGCAGCGCCCTGCTCTAAAACAGGGATGATAAATGCATGAAGCAGCCTGAGCAGAGCCTGTGTGCATGTTCTGAGAGGACTGAACCTCCTCTTGTATAATGTATGCTGTGTTACTGGATAACCTTGTCTGCACCCCCACATGTTAAACTCGCTTAAGAACTTTCACTGGAGCTTTTTATATTTATATTATTTTCTCAAACTCTTGCAGCTCAGGTGTTCCTGCTGTATCTGCAGGCAGATACAGCAGGAACACCTGAACATGAGCTGCATGTAAGGAGGCTCTTAGTGCAGAACGGTGATGGAGTAAGCTGTCTCAGATCAGAAGCTCAGTGAGAGAAAAAAAAATCTAAACAACTCATTTTGTAAGGGGCTAGATATTTAAAAACTTTATCAAAACAAAAAGCAAACATTTCCCCCCGTTTCCAAGAAAACAAAATGGAGCATGGCTTTAAGAAATAGGGTGCTTTCCTTCTATTTGTGTGGCTTTGCTGAGATGAACCTGGCTTTAATATAATAGATAAACCTCAAGACATAAGGAAGTGGAAGAGTTCATTCATTTCAGTAGTTCAATTACGGTAAAAAAGTACAGATTTATCAAAAGCAGTGGAAGGATTAAGGGATTGCTGTAATGTTAAGGAAGCTCATGTTGTTCTTTTAAAACTCCTCCAGATTGTCTGTATTGGATTTGGTGTCTCTCATTTTCTGCATTTTTATACTCCATAGACTTCCTCTGGCTCTCAGGTCAGGTCAGTTTGCTGGCAGATTGAGCACAGTGACAACATGGTCATTAAAGCAATAGCTGAGATTTTTTTTTTTTTTTTTCAGAGTAGGCAGGTGTCAAATCCTGCTGAAAATCAGCCTCCCTATTAAGCCTGACACAAGAAGGAAGATGGAGGTCTTCTAAAATGAAAAAGGTGGACAGCAGAATGGACTTTGGATTTAATAAAAGTTCATGCCAGCAGATGGTAAGGCTTCCTATATTATTGCTGCCTTTATCACAAGCCTAGACTTTGATTTCCAAATGAAATAAAAACCATTCCAAACACTTCTCTGTATCGTGGCTCCTGGTTGGATTCAAACCCCGACTCAGATTAATCCTTTAAATTCTTAATTTTGTTTCGTAATCCTTTTAGTCTGTGGTTATCCCTGCTGCTTGTGCATTTTTACACACATTTTCCTTTTGCTGAACTTTTCATTTAAATCCTTCTGTAACCGATGATTATCAAAATCAACAGGAAGAAATCCTTTAAATGTATAAACTAAAAAGATCAAAACTCTGGCACAGAAGGCCATCTGTAGGAAAAAGGAGTGGTATGATAAAACAAAGATGCATGCAGAGGAGTGAGGTTAAAGCAATAAACCCCAAGAAAGTTTGGGGCATTCTAAGGCATGCTGATGGTAGAACTATAATCTGTGGGTTTTACAACATAAAAATGATATAGGAGTTATGTAATCTCCAGATATTAAGTCAATTATGTGACCCAAGAGAAGCTGTTCATGTTGTAAAGAAAACACATTTTATTTATTCTGTTTCCCAGGAATAAGAAAAAAGCAGCAACAATAAGGGGGGATTAGCCAATAAGGTCATGTTTTTGAACACAGTGTCTTTTTTTATATATGAATCCATGCAAGATCATTAATTGCCATACAAAAAACTTCAATATTTCATAAAATGTTAGTGGCTCTGAACCAGAATAAAATGAAAATGCCAAAAACAGTTTCACCACCTTTCTTTTAATCCTAAGTAGGAGCTGGGTGCAATAGCAGCTTCTTCTGAGCATGAACATTTTACTGGTCATTATTTTTCTTGGCTTACTGAACATTTGAGTCACTCTTTATCTCCCACTCTGGTGCCCTTTTCCACTCTTCAATCTCTCTGCCTTTTCTGCCTCTGTCTTTCCATCATAGGGGAGATTTTTAACCTTGCCGCTGACGACAGCTTAAAGAAAAAAAAAAAAGAAACACCCCTCCCTCATTCAGCTCCACCTTCATCAGTTTATCTCCTCTCCATCTCATCTGATATGGATGCCACATGCTGCCTCCTTTGCCCCCACCCTACACACACAGCCTGATGTAAAGTCAGCTGGAATACCACCCAATTTAAAGGGGCATTGATTTCCCCCACCGGTGCTCTATGAATACATTTCTTATGCATGAGCACCCAGAATGATGTTTATATTCGATGTGCTTTCTATTCTCCTCCACGGTCTGAGTGTTATGCTTCGACTCAAACTCCCAAGATCCAATTTAGGTGAACAGAGGTGCTCATTTCTCTCATGGCTGATGAATTACTCGTTACAAAGGTGGAGGAGCAGAAGCAGAGTGCAAGGTGAGTAAAGCATGTTGGTGATGAAACATTTTTCCGCCCCTTGCTGAAATAAAAGGACTAAATAAGCCCTAAATGTGCTTGATTATTTTTTCTCTCATTGGATGTGTAATTTACAAATTAATCCAAACTTTTCCTGATTCATAAAACTAATTAGCTGGCATTCATTTTGCAGATGAGTGCAATCAGTGATTATATTATCTTTTTTTTTTTTCCTAAATAGGTAAAAAGGCAAACACCTTGAACAGTGAGGAAGACTTACCTGAGGCTGATTACCCAGGAATCACAGGTGGAGTGTTCAGGCCTCCCCGGTCCACTTTTAGAAAGCTGAACTTGCCCTCTGCAGTTGGATCTGCTCCACGCACCGATATCTAAGGGGAGAACAATGATCAAACTGCTTTTTTGACATAGTTAATAACTCCCAAGGTGAGCGAGATAAACCAATGGAGTCCTTATGATAAATGACACACACACCATAAAATCCACTTTCCTCCCTCACCCGTTTTGAATCTCCTTATTCAAACACTAGTTCATTCTGTTGTTTTTTCTCCCTCTGTTTCAATGCTCCTAAGTCCTTTCCCTCCTGCTCTGGTGCTTCCCTCCCCTCCTTTCTTACCCGGTTGTCGAGGCGACAGAGTCAGCGAGAGACATTTCTTCCCCAGAAGCTCCCCTCTCTCTCTTTCTCTCCCTCTCCTTTCTCGTGGCTTTGTTCAGCACGCTCTGCTGACTGGCTCAATGCTGGAGGAAGCACAAGGAGGGAGAGTCAGCTCTAACCCCCCCAAAAAGATGATGCTCATAGGCAAAGAAAACCAAACGGGGTGTTTTTGCCTCAAAAGAAGAGTCGCTGTGAGGGAATCAATCCTTATTGAGCTGCTTTTAGGGGACCATGTCATAAGAGGTATCTTGATGCTGCAGTAGAGCCCCCTCTCATCCAGCTGGAGGTGGTATGGTCTGGTCCAGACTCAGTTGGTGGGGTGTGCTATAAGAGGGTGATCAGAATAACTGGCTAGAGTGAGGGACAGATTAAAATAACCGCCTAATCAAGGTTTATTAGCTTTCAGGTTTGTTTTCCTTTGTTAGATAAATCCCTTCTTGCTTCCCTGAATGTATTTTAACAGTGTTCAGCACCTGTACCAAACACAGCCCTGCTTTAAAGGAATCACTGATTTGAGTTGTCAGGTTTTCCTTCTTTACGCCATAAAATGCCACCTTTCTGACTGAGCCGTCCTTAGTCCGCCTGCTCTCTTCTAACACAGATGAACGGCTCGCCAGCCTTTCTCCCACACATCCATCAGCTCACTTTCCCCTCTCTAGGTTCATGGGCAACCTGGATTGCCTTAAGATCACATGGTAATAATTCATCAGCCAAAGGCGTGTCAGGGCGATTGCTGTGAAATGAGACTTCATAGCTACAAAGAAAGCAGGTTGAGAAAGTGGTGCGTATGACCGTGAGTGTGCACAATGGTGTTTTATCATTTCTGGTGTGTGAAAAAAACAGACTTTCTACCCAAAGAGTCTCTATTGTTAAACTTTAATGAGTCTTCAGGAACTCAGACTTTATTTCAACAAACATTTATGACAAATATTGGCAGGCGAGAACTCAAGAGGCAGCATCTGACTCCACCAAATAAATTAAATAATACAAAAGCTGACTTCATTCACACTTCTGCGCATGCATACTGAACACACACACATGCAGAGATATGAAAGCCTGATGAAGGAGCCTCACAAATGATCTATACTGATAAATCATAATTTTACAGATTATTTTCCCATACTTTTCACAATCGAGCAGGAACACTGTGAAATATTTAAGACAAGTACAAACTAAAGGATTGTACTACATTGTAAACAGAGAATAAGAAACAGATACAGTTTGTCTTTCAAGGTATTCAGAGGAAAGGTATTCTGCATGGAAGCAAATCGATCTGGGTAATTTTGCATCCACGTTGACAGTTGTGAAATGAAAAAAAAAAGGTTTGCATGCATCAAGTAGTTGCATCCTGAGTTATTCATTTTAAGGGTTGTTTGTAAAAATGTCCAAATGGAGAAAATGTAACAAAGCTAACTGGATATAAAGTCAAACAAACACTTTTTTAATGCTTAGTTTTTACATACTTCATCTTCTCAACACCTAAGAGAAGGAATGGATGGAGGAATGGTTGGAGTTTTAGGAAACAACACAAACAGGCTGATATGTTAACGAGGCTCAGTAATGGAAGCTGATAATAAGGACCTTATTATAGAATAAATTGACTTTAGTGTGTGTCTTCACTCTTGTGCTGTAGACACCATTGAACGATTTGGTTTACAAATTTTCTCCCCCCCCAGCAGGGGCAAAGAGGAATACATCTGGAATGAAAACATCATTATAGTTCTCTGTTAAAGGTCAATATGTGTGGCATGATCTAAATACATATACTGTTGTTTCGTGTTTTGTTTAGTTTAGAATTAAGGTGTGTTGATAAAATGTCGGTTAACACACCATGGCGGTCTGCAGTTTGCATAACCACAAATATTCCCAAACAACCTGAATCTGTCATTCTTGTAAAGTGAAGGGAAACCAGCTAATGGCAGTGAACAACTACAGGTGGGCATATGCCCAGAGCTAACAAACACCTGATAACAAAAGAAAAATGCCTCATAAATAATCCACATACCGTTTACAATAATTAAAAAAATGCAAAAGAATCCTTTGAATCAACAAAAGATTTTATCATGAAGCAGAAAAATAAATAGAAGACTTTGTTCCTGGCTGTTTTTCATGACAAGACTTCAGGCCTGAGTGTGTATTTAATGGTCCTCTGTACCCAACTTTCACAGTGAAAAAAAACAAACAGATTCAGAGAGGTCGGCAACAAACCGATGAGGAACAGGCTGATCTGAATGTGCTCTAACACTCTCTACAGTAAACTCACATACACTCATGATTCTCAAAGCGATCCTCTGATAAAGCAAACTTGGCTACCACAGATGAGTCTCGCGTATCTCAGAGATGATGGTGTTGGCCTTTTTAAGAGCCTACAAGCAAAACAGACAAAGAAGACTGTTAAATTTATGACCCTAAAAAAAAACAGGAGTTGATTTTTTTTTATCCCTCAGTTTTACCTCGAGCATCTGTGCAACCTCGGTCCGTTGCTGCGCGGTTTCCTGCGATTCGATGAGCAGCTCCTGAAGCAGCGGCTGCTTGTAGAGCTGACCCACCAGCTCGCTCTGCAGATTCTCCTTCACATGGTTCACCAAGAAATGCATCACTGTCTTGGGTACACTGCAAACAGATCCAAGAAGGTCAGATAAAAAAAAAAAAGTTAGAAGAATTTCAATCCAAAACAGCTGAGTGGAATGAGAGATTCAGAGTGGCAGTGGGTGCCCTCCGGTGTTTTGGATTTGTTGAGTAAAATCAAACCTGTCTTGAATGCTTTTGCGAACGATGAGGAAGTAGCACTTGATCAGACGCTGGATGACCTCACAGTCTCTCTGCTCCTTCGCGCTCAGTTTGCGGGATGCGGGCATCGCCTGGCGGAGACGATGCAAAGGATCAATCAAATCCTAAACGTTTGGTGCCTTTAATGATCCCATCGCTCACCGTGTCAAGCAGGTTAATGGCCTGGCCTTTACTCGGGCTGCCAAACCCCGTGGCTGGAGTTCTCTCCTCAGTAACCTTCTCGTTCTTCCACCGTTTTCCTCCATCGGTGGCCTCCGCCTGAAAACAAGGTAAAAACAAACAAAAAAAAACTCAAAGGGGAAAAAATTATATCACAGAGTGTGGATTTTTTTTGTAGCATTTGGATGCAAAACATTTAAATCCAGATTCTACAAAGCACAGCCTCTGCAGTTTCCTTTGGCAGGATGAATGAGAGATGTTAATGTTTGCTGTAGGGCAAAAACAAACAAATTGTACCTGCTGACTGTTGACGGATGCTGAGACCTGCGCTGCATCTGTAAAGTCCGGATGTTTCGTATTGATGTAAGCGAGCTCTATGGCCACTAAATTGTGCACCTGTCACAAAAAAGCAGAAGAAAATGATTGCTAGAAACACTGAGCTGCTTTCTAAAACTATTAGAGATGCACTAATCAATCAGATGGAGATCACAATCTGACAATTTTCCATCGATTGGGACTTTGAACGTTAGAAATACTGAATGTTTTTGCTTTCCAAGAACTCCCATCATTTTCAAAAAATTTTTTTTTAATTTAAATTGATGACATTAAAACAGGTTAAGCACATGCACTTTAAAACTGGCAGCATATGATTTTTGTCTTTTTTTTGTAGTTCTACAAGGTAAACAAAAAATGGAGCGGGGAAGTCAGCCTTTAAAGGAAAGTGGAAATTAATTTCAGCCAGGCAAAAACTATGTTAATTAATACAGAATTAGCTGCGGATTACCATTTCATTCGTGATTGGCAAGCGCTTCCTCAATAATCCGGTCACAACCTCAACAATGGAATCGTGCAGTTTGGGAAATCGTAGAAGCTCCTTTAACACACACAGAGAGGCACACTCTTAGTCTCTTTTAGCTCTAATGAAATAACCCACTGATGCAGAAAAGTTAAAGTGGATAACCTTCTCTTGACTAACCTGAGTGCTGAAGGAGGAGCAGTGCTGGATGATCCTCTGCAACTCTTCATGAACCAGCTCCACACAGCGCAGGCTGGGATCCTCCAGACGCTTAATTTGCCTCTTTACCAGCAACTCGAAAGAAACCTCTGGCACAAAAAGAGCAGGTCTCGGACCCTGCAGGGCCAAACCAACATGTCTCAAACACACTTATCTATGCCAGGGCAACAATAAACAGTGTAGATGAGTCTCCAATAAGAGGCAGCTGACCGTAGCGTTGCGGATGGCGGTGAGGATATCCAGATCGCTCAGTCCTCCTAGGGGGTCGATGGACTGCAGGGTGCGGCCGAACGTCTCGTGGAATATGTAACAGATCCGAGCCCCTCCGCAGCTGCAGGGGAGACGGGTTCAGCCGTGAGTGTGTGTGTGTCAGCTGTGATAATTGAGCCCAAATGAAATGCAGTCAACCATTAAAAAAGGTCAATATTTGCTCTTGACACATTCAAGCGAATTAATTGGCCGGCGGTAAGAGAGCTGAAGAGGTGAAGGTCCCAGAAGATGACATTAATGCCACAATCTAGAGACTAACATGCTGACTTTTACTAAATCTGCCTAAATTAAACGCAACCTCTCGGCTAAGAAGTCAGAAATGATTATAAGGGTCTGTTCTGAAACAGTTTAAGCAGGTAATCATAATAAAAATTGAGTAAACCAAGGGGGGCAAACTCCAGTTTTGAAGTCAATGGATGTTTTTAAGCCCTTCTTTGTTCTCTTTTTATCTCAAACGGTTCTCATATTCGAGGAGCCTGGTATGACACCGCTCTCCTGAGAAAAAAAGAGCACCTCAGTGAAAAAGTTAAGCAGCTTGTAAAAGCAGGACATGTTCTTCTAAAACCTGCAGATCATGCAGCATTAATGAAGTCTGTAAAGCTATGTTCACCCACAGCACTGCTCATGAATATCAATGTCACTTTTTTTGTGCTATTTTATTAATTTAACAGTCATGTACAATGCAGTACATAGAGTGCTCTTTTATGTATTCAGTCAGTTTTAACTAGTAAGGGGAGTCTGAGCGTGTAGAAATAGGCTCTCCAATGTCCTAATCTGTTTTTTTCCCTGTCGTTTGAAAAATGTAAAAATGTATCTCGTTTATTAAAGTAATCTTATTCAGAACATTAAGGTGACTCCCTGATAACTAACCCTGGATCATCAGTGTCCTTAAGGAATCCCCTTAGGAAGAACAAGGGAGAAAAAATGAAAATATTGAGAGCTGTGTAAAAAAAAGTCAAGATTAGACAGCATACGGGTGAATACTGGGAAGCCAGCTCCAGCAAGTTATGCAAGAGGATCAGGTACACAAGAAAATAACAGGTTTAAAGCAAGAAGAGAATCTGAATGATGAGAATCTGAACCTGTTCCTCAATATGTTCTATTCATAAACAATCCTTATTCTTTTTTTGTTTCCAAGTAGACACTGATGCCACCTTTACCTCCCGCTCCCACCTGGGTGTTGAAAGAAGTCAGGGTAACGACGTCAGGAAAGCGTAAATTTGGTAAACAATGAATGAATGAATGAATGATGGGACTAATGATATCGGTTGTCCCACTCTCTTCCTTGTCTCTCATTTTTCCGCTGTTACCATCAACCCTTTATTAGCATACGTTATGTTTAATGCATGGGAGAAATCTACAGTAATATCCTAACAAATATTGAATTCAATCAGTCATTTTTGATTGAGCTACTGTACACCATATAATATAAGCTTTACATCAGCCTAATCCCTTTTTGGTTGAAAAGCAAATGTTACATATATGTGTGTATAAGAGAATGTTGAGTTATGTTTTTTTTTTTTTTCTGTTTTTAAGTTCACCAAAAATAAAATCATAAATTCATCATCACTATGATATCGAAATGATGACAGTGATTCCGTATAATATTACTCGTCTAAAAGATCTGAGGAGACCAGGAGAGACTGATGAGTGAAAACAGATGGCTGCTGGACAGATTTGTGGCAGCGTAGAAGTAATTATCTTAACTTGAATGTGACCCAAACAGGAGATGATCCTCAGGTTGAGGAGAAACAGAAATAGGCCTGTTTCACTATTTCTAGAGGTGCTGAGGGACACTGAAAAAAATTACTTTGAACAAACTTGAAAAATAAAAGAAATCACTCTAACTTTTTATAGCTAAATTGATCAGTTTTATTCAAGCTCAAATTTTCCATTTATATTAAAGGTA